GTCCAACTGTCATCACTATATCGCATAACGTGTCCGGCCCACCTGATCTTCGATTTCTTGGCGTAACCAACGGCTTCCCTGATCTTCGTTCGGTGACGGAGCTTGGAACTCAGGATTCCCTTCTGCACTTGCGTGTATAGAGAAATTCAGAGCATCGTCCTTTCCAAAGCGCGTTGAGTAACTTTGACGAGTTATACATTTTCGAAGTAAGCTGTAGTCGGAATTACCTTTTTGGAGCTCGGTGCGAGTAGGCTTTAGTATAGAGTGAAATGTACCGCTATCAAATTTTCGAATCATTCAATGTCTTAATGTGTTGTCTTAATTTGAAGAAAAACAAGAGGGATTCTATTAAGGTACAGTTGACGATTAGAATTGTCTCTGAGAACTTCCTACAGTATGAATTCGGGGCACCGCCTTATGCCATACCTGACGTTATATGTTTGGAAAACGTTCTGTATAGGGCACAATGATGGGCCAGCGATTGTATCGTGCGAATGCTACACTCGTAGTGAACGAGTTTCAACGGCATTGTAGAGGCTGCACCATTCATAAGGGAACCATTGTAGGAAGTTCAAGCAGCTTGTTATGACCCATAGCGACAGCGAAAGGCGATTCCGGACAGTTTTGGCTTGATGTAGTTAGCACTTGGAGCAATTGCAACAACTGAAATTTGTTGAAATACCCCTTCCATGTCATTTCTGACATGGCAATCTCGTACAAACTCTATTTTCGCTACTTTTGAGGAGCCATGTTTCTCGCAAATCGGCGAATATTTTCGTTTCCTCCACACCAATACTTCGGGCTTTCGACATGAAAAGGATACAGTAGTCAGCAATTAGGCATGACGCGATCCTAGTATGAATACTTTTATGGTATCGGTCGGCAGTGTATAAGTACAAATTTATTGGTCAAAGTCGACTTCTGAATTCGTTTTTTGCTATCGTCTCGAGATGAACCTAAAAATAAAAGTTGCTAGAGAGTTGTCAAGCTCATGGAAATTGAAAACACCTCAAAAAAAACAAGCCAACCTCATCTGGCCCGTCGGCTAGTCTTAGCGAACGGGCGGCTGTGAAGAAGAAGGAAAGGGGCGTGTCCACGGTGAGTCCGCTTCCTCCGAGCATCTGGATAGCTCGATCTACAACTCGTTGCGCCATATTAGGAGCGACTACCTTGATCATTGCAATTTCGGATTGTGCTCCCTGGAAATGAATCCAAATTGTAGGTTCCCCGATAATTTGAGCTGCATTTTGATGTATCGTAGGGCATGCAGTATATAAAGGCACAATTCACGATAAAAATGATTTCTGCGGTTTCCTTATAGGATGACCTCTAGGCTGTCTCGTATACCATATCTGGCGCTATCACGTCGGAAAACGGTCTAGTTAGGGCGTTACAAAGGCTCAAAGATTGTATCATGTGTAAACTCGGACGAGTTTCACCGGCATTGCAGAGGCTGCGCCATTCACAAGGGAACCCATGTAGAAGGCTCAAGCAACTTGTCATGACCCATACCGACAGTGAAAGGCAGTTCTGTTCAGTTCTGATTTGATGTAGTCAGCTCTTTGAGCAATTGCAGTAACTGGAATCTCGCCCCTTCCATTTCAATCTCGTCCAACCTTTACTTCTCCTACTTTGAAGAAGCGCAATTTTTCTCGAAATTCGCGAATTTCGCTTTCTTCACTACCGATAAGCTATTTCCAACCTGTTCTTCCACTTTTGGAATATAAAGGGATACCTCAGAATTATTATTATGAACTGTATCTTTGAAGGTAATTTCTTTGTGATAAAATGTTTTCATGGTTGATTCGGACTTCAGGTTTCATTACTCGGAGAGTATGAACAATGCTACTCTACCAGTGCGTCTCTAGAAGTCAACTCGAATATCGAAGGATATGACCTCAGATGCTCCAAATGAAACCATTCATGGGTCTAAAAGTCGAGGAGACTTTGTGGGAGAGTATGGAGGCAATGTGATAGCAAAGAAAACGCCATTCACGTAACTTTTGCATACCTTCGGCCCTATTGTATCAATCATGTGTGCAGCTTTGAGAACAAGTAATCGTGCTTGTTCAACGTCGCATCGTGACAGAGCTATTTCTTTCCGGACCGAATCGAATTCGCGCAGCCGTCTTCCAAAAGCTTTTCGGTAGGAAGTCTGGAATGGATAGCAGTAAATAACTCAATTCAAGAGAGTTGCACAGCACAACACGGCTTGGGGAGTTTTTTTGAGAAAATTTTTGGAGATATTTTTGAGAAAAAACATAGGTAGGCTTCGAGAGTCTTAAAAGCTTGGTTGATCAATCATGCACCCATGATTGGACTAAGACAAACTTGCTCTTTTCCTCCAACTTATCGGAAAGATTTAGAGATAAAAACTTACTCGTTCTTTCATGATGTCAATAGCTCGTTCGGCATGACCTATTAGTCTCATGGCATGATGGATTCGACCAGGCCCTAATCGCCCTTGAGCGATCTCAAATCCTCTGCCTTCACCCAGAATCATGTTTCCAACGGGAACGCGGACATTCGTGAAGAGCACTTCGCAGTGACCAGCTGAAAAAGAAATCATGAGAAATGCCTCTTGGCATTTCATGCAAACAAAAGTTTTTTCCAACGATGTGAGATAGGGTTCTCTTGAGGAAATATTCCGAACAGCTGTCTTCGGACAGCTAACCCAACAAACAATGTATCCGGGTTCCCTTTCGATGTTATAAACAGTTCTTCATCAAAATCTTACACGGAGCATCGTCAGCGCCGAACACGTGAAGATTCCTAACAATCTTAACACCTGGGCACTTCATGGGAACAAGTACCATTGAATGCTGAGAGAGTCGATTTGTCTGAAAACGAATCTTTGTTTTGTCATACTCCAATAATCGTTCCCAAGCAAGAGCCTGCAGCATCACCTACTCTCCCACTCAAACCTTACTGTAAAACATCATACACTCAAAACGTTAGACAGAGAAGCTTTCGATTTGCACTCACTGTTTTGCCAATTACTCGCCCCATGAAGATGCAAATTTGGCAGTCAGTGTGAGCAGCATTTGATGTGAACCATTTTCTAGCATTTATGATGTACTCGTCACCATCTCGTACAATGGAGCCCTGAATATTTAGGGCTATTAAGATCACGTTACGCTGTGAACTAAAGAATCATCGAG